TGGCTGCTGGCCGCCATCTTGGCTGACAGTTACTTTGCATAAGGATATGCTGATTAGCCAATGGGAAGGGTAGCGGTCGTATGCTAATTACCATGTTTCTCTTTTATTAGTGTAGATTCCTACATAAAATGCTACTGTGAGTCTAAAAGGGTTAATTCTTTATGACTCACTTAAACGGCTTTTATAATACACTACCTACCAACTGATTTCTTAAAAACCGATTTGTTAGAGCAGAGCTATCTTTTCTCTTAGAATGCACTGTTCTTAATAGCAATAGGTATTTCCCAGCTGTGTAATTTACACCTCAATGCACCTTATATCAGATTCCACTACAGCTTTCCAGAAAGAAACAGGCCCTCACTATGACACTAGTATTCAGAAAGCCATTTCAATGGCCTGTTTCCTCACTCTGCACATTTTTTGACAAGCAAACCCAAAACGTTTGCCCATAAATCCCCCTCAACATTCTTTCAACGGCACTTAAAAAAGTTATGGAGCCCAGATAGTGTGGCTCAGTGGGTTAAGCATCGACCTATGAGCCAGGAGGTCATGGTTTGGTTCCCCGGGTTGTGGGCTCGATCCCCAGTTGGGGGCAGGCAGGAGGCAGCCGATCCCTTCCTCTCTGAAATCAATAAAAAAATATGTTTTTAAAAAAAGTTATCGATGCCAAGTCGCACTTTCTTTGGCATGGCAGGGAAATGACGTACAGAGAATATGTCCAAACAGCTTGCTAGGAGAAGGCACTGTGCTTCCTGCCCTACTTGGGATTCACGTGGCACAAGTTTCAAACAGAAAACGGAGGCAGCTGTTTGCCACGGGCGTCACAAGCCTCCACTAGAGAAATCGACCCAGAGTCACGGACACAGTGAAGGCCGAGTGGCTGCCTGGACAAGTCCCGAGGGAGCCCTGCGAGTGCCGCCCTGGGAGCTCAGCACTCACCTCCTCGTAGGTGGAGCTGGGAGGGGCTGCAAACAGCATGTTGGCAATTCTTCTCTGATACCAAGGCATTTCAGCAAACGTGTAGCACCTGGGGGAGTAAAGAAACGTTCATGCATCGAACTGACTGACTTTCTCTTCAAGACAATCAAGCTTCTTATCAGACATACAGGACGCTGGTGCTGCCTGTTTAAGCAGCGTGTACTGGACATAACATCAGAGGCTCACTTCCACCCCGAGTTGTGCAGGGACTGACTGACACTGCTCCATCGAGTGGGGGGCTTGTGATCACATGTAAACAGTGGTGACTACTGGTAACAGCGCTGAGAGGCTGTGGAGCCGCTTCGGGTGAGAGGGCGTGTGCAGGAAAGAAGGGCGCATACTCAGGGCTGGGCACCACCTGCGGCGTCAGGCAGCCGCTGGGGCCCTGGGCGTGCGCCCGCGGATGAGAGGGGACCACTGCACCTGTTGCTAAATGATCTGAATAACGACGTCTGACAAGATCACAATCACATTTGTATTTCCTAACGACAGGCACAGCTGCTGGTTGATTTAATGGTTAAGCAAGCACTCCTGAGTGCCAAGCAGCATTTTAAAATAGCTGACATCTTGCTTTTTTAAACACAACAAAATAAGATCACACTACGTACCACTGAAATATTTATTCAAAGAAATTTTCTTACCAAATGCCCATTAGGTGAATCGAAGTCGCATCTTTAGGGTTCAATTCAATTGCTTTCTAACAAGAAATGAGAAAATCAAGCATTTGTTTTATAAACAAGAAGAATTTTGCTTGTTTACTGAGGAAGCACAGGTAGAATGTGTCAGGAAAGTGTCCCTCATTTCCATTTACCACGTGACAGCCCTGTGTGAATTAATGTAAAGTATAAATGACAATAACTTTAACGAAATTACTCCTTTGATCATTATTTTGTTGAAAACTGCTAAGGAAATTTCAGAGGTTAATGTAGTGCCATTAAAAATAAGAGACCCTTTTTAAAAACTGGGACTCCCTAGCGCAGCCGTGGGCAAACTACGGCCCGCGGGCCGGATCCGGCCCGTTTGAAATGAATAAAACTAAAAAAAAAAAAGACCGTACCCTTTTATGTAATGATGTTTACTTTGAATTTATATTAGTTCACACAAACACTCCATCCATGCTTTTGTTCTGGCCCTCCGGTCCAGTTTAAGAACCCATTGTGGCCCTCGAGTCAAAAAGTTTGCCCACCCCTGCCCTAGCGTATGCTTTTCTGTGCACCCACACTGTCGCTTCCAGTCAGGAGTGTGTGCGACACACATTTTCAAATCTCTGCACTGTTACCAGTGCGGGCTCTGAAGCCAGACCTCTGACTGGGTGGCAATCACAGCTCATGCCTCCCAACCTCCTGGCCTTGAGATGTGTCTCTATTTCTGCCTGGGTTTGCTCTTTCAGAGAACTGAGACAGTAACACACCTCCCAAAAGAGTTGTGGTGACAATGAAATGAGCAAGTCACAGCAGGTGCTTGGCACAGCACTGTCTCCCGTCACCAGTTTCCTTTTCTTGGGTCCTGGCATCATTTCTCACAGCGCGGTCAGTGGCAGCAGCAGAGGTCACAGAACGAGGCTAACAAGTGTGACCTGGCAGAACTCCGGCCCAATAGTATGGGTAAGACGCAGCGCGGATTGAAAATGTGCTTTTCCATAAACATAGTTGCATGAGTTATAGCAAAACACAACTGGAAGTATTTACAACCTCTACTCTAAGCTCCTTCCCTGCTGGAGTCCCGCTGGAAAACCACGCCCTGCAAACACCATGTAAGTCGCTGTTTTCTCACCCCGCCAAGGGCAGGGCCGGTCTAGAGAGAAGGTAGCCTCCCGATTCCTGGGCACTAGAGCTCAACCTCTCACAGGTGGCGGACGGGCTTCTCCCAGCAAACCCTCCAGTTTAATCTAAGTCCAGTTAAATAAAGACAGGCACTCCTCTGACTTAGGTAAATATGGGATCGGAAACAATAGTATAAATGGTAAACACTGTCATTTTAAAACACACTGAACACATATACATTTGAAAGCTTATAAAAAACATTGAATTTTAAAATATTATAGCCTTCATGTTCGAAGTTTAGATTAATATACATTAATATATTTTCTGCGATTTTTCACTATTCACGTTGGCAGTTACCTGTCATGTATTTCCACACCAAGGCACAGAGTAACTGAGATGCGGCATTAGGCAAGATGCCATAGTCACTGAATCTAAGACACCACAACATTATCTTACGTACCACTAAGACTACAAAGGAAGTATAAGATACTACTGACTACACAATGTTGTCTGATTTCTAAGACTTAAAATGTGAAAAAGACCTATTAAATTGAAATGGATAGACACGTGTGTATATACACTTGTGCGCACACATATTACTGAGCCTGAAGAAGCAGCTAGGTCTCCTGACTTGCCATCCAATGTTCTGGTCAACTAGTCATTAAAAAATCTAGAAGCTGAGTCTATGACCATAAAATTCAGACATCTGTTGCCCAGCCTACCTACCATTATCCCTGCCCGCGCTTTCCCCGCCTGTGCCTCCTTTGTAGCTCCGAGATGGTCTAGAATACCACGCGAGAGACGAACATGCTGCAACAGGGCCAGTGTCGGGTGGAACAGATGAGTGGAGAGCCCGTGGCAGCCGAGGAAGCACATGGTGATGCGAGCACTAACTTCAGGGAGATGTGAGCACACCCAGAGGCCACAGTGTACACAGTGCTGTCCCCAGGCAGGGGCTGCGATGCTGGGCTGTTAGCCTGTGAGCCCCACAGACTCTGGCTTGGCCACATGACTCGTGTGGGTTGACGGGGTATTACCAGGTGTGAGGCAGGTTTGCACACGGGACTTTCTCCCTGGGCCGCCCACTCTTGGAAGCCAGCAATCATGCAATAAAGGAACAGAAACCAATGGAGATGAGAGGCCCCCTGTGCACCCATCCCTGCGTGGAGCAGGTGAGCACAGCCCGCAGGAGCTCAGCTACACCCCCAGAACAGAGCACGGGTGCTGCCCACAGAACTGAGACCACCGCCTCTCCAAGGCCAGCAAGTCTGAGGCAGTCTGATCAGCTGCCGGAACAGAGAACCAACCACCCAGAAAGCCCACGCCTGCCCAGTTCACTGGTACCTCAAAATGCTCCTTGATAACGTAGGCGTTTGCGATTTTAGCCTTGATGCCTTCGTAATCTCCGACGTCACTAATGCAGATGGCACACCACTAAAAATAGAAAACAGATGTAAGAATAACAACGCTTAATACTGGTCCATTCAACACAGGTAAACTGAGTATTTATTCCTCATTCAACAGAAGTTACTGCACATAAACACCGTACTCAATACACTGGGGCAGACGGAGAAGTGGACAGCCTCGGGAGCTCAAGGAGAAGCTGGCCCTGTGTGCTCCTAGACCAGTGGTGGGCAAACTGCGGCCCCTCGAGTGTGGCTCTTCCACAAAATACCACGTGCGGGCACGCACGTACAGTGCAATTGAAACTTCGTGGCCACACTCAAGGGGCCAAAGAGCCGCATGTGGCTCGCGAGCCGCCGTTTGCCGACCACTGTCCTAGACGAAGGTACAAGGCAGAGAACAGCGAGTCTCTAGGTGTTGGGGGCCAGATGTAAGCTGGCAAGGTCCTTGCACCTGAAGGGGCTAGCAAGGCTGGGACCCTTACCCACACAGTTTTCCCAGACTTGTTTGGATGGCGGTTATCAGTAGAATGAGAGCAACCTTTGTAGAATGAGAACAGCCTTTCATGGCTTACCAAGAAGTCTGTAACTATTTACTGAGATATGCTGTACTGAGAACTTGTCCTTCTGCTGTGTCTCTCCCTTAGAGATTAAGAGGAACAAAGAATACATTCCTCTTGACAGACCTCCTATTAAGTGTGTTATGTATAAATAGGATTGTGCGGCTAATAAAGTTGCTTCAGTTCATCGAGAGAACTGGGGTCCTCCCGACCCCGCTTTCCTGTCTTTCTTTCTTTCTTTTCTCAATTCCCACCTCCCTGCCTCAGCCCGGCTCAACCCTGTCAGGCTGGCCCTGACAGATCTGGCGCCCGAACACGGACTGAGGAACTGGGAAAAAGACGGTGAGGAATTCCGTCGGGCTTGGAGAGACGACGTGAGGAACTCCTCCGGATAAAGAGTGCACTCGTTAAGGTAAGGGAGGAGCAATTTTTTGGTAATCGGGAGTAAAGCATGGGGCAATTAGAATCTAGAGAAAATGCCCTTTATGGGCAAATGTTAAAGTTTATGCTCAATAGTAAAGGAACTAAGGTTAATGACAAGCAAGTAGAAAATTTTTTAAAATTCATTCAGGAGGTCTGCATTTCCTTATCGAATTTAATACGGGATT